TATAACAGAGACGGTCGGGCGTGCCGCGGAGCGTGCCACCAAAGGGGATGAGAATTTTCCACAAGCTGCAGAATTATTGTCTCGAATGATTCGACTTGAAAATATTTGGAAAAATCGACCGTTCTGCCAAACGAACGATATCCGTTACGTAAAGGTTGCTTTCCGCGATCGAAGAGAAATCAGAGGGAAATTTTTTTTTTTTCACACGTGGAAGCGAGCGAAGGAATCGCGTGCATAAATGGCAAGTCGGACAATAGGAAGTCGGTGGTGTATAGGGACATGCCCTGCGGGACACGGAACGGGGTGGTTGGAACGGGCCGCGGAAACACGGAGAGGGCGGGAACACGTCGGTCGAGCGAGGGTTGCCGCGCTGCGAGCCGGAGAACGGGGATGTAGGAGGGTGACTATGGCTTCGTATGTATGCTTCTCCACGAACAGACTTTTATAACTGTGAGCGTACTCGCTCGCGCGCGTGACTGAAACCGCCAGTGGTACTATCTACGAGGGCACGTAGAGTCGAAGGGTATCATCTATAGACGAACACCTTACGAAGAGAGAGAGAGAGAGAGAGAGAGAGAGAGAGAGTCGCTATCCCGGTCGTTTCGCCGCGACGTGTAAAATCTCTCTGTCTCTTACTCTTTCCCGTTCGACGATCCTCTCGCGTCTGGCGTTTATTCCTATTCTGATCCGAACAGCCTTGTTCGGATCCACGCGTCCTTCTTTTTCAAGATTTAGCCAGCTATTTTTATTATTTCTATCTATCGCGAGAAGTCGTCGAACTTTCTCGCGGTCGCGTCATCGATAGCTTCCTTGTTAATTTTCTTCTCTTTTGCCCCCACCTTTTGTTGCCTATCTTGTCTGTTGCCTTATCTGCCGAGTCTACGTATCATTGTCATTTGCTGTACAATTTTCACTGTTTCACGAGTCTCTAAAAAGTAAAATTTTAACTAAATTTCTAGAACAGATAGAGATTGAATTGTTTAAGGAAAAGATCCTTTGATTTCCTTTGTACATTTAGGGAAAGAAAATGTTTAAACAGATATAAAAAACTTTTAAAATTTAAATACATTATTCGTTATTATTGAGGAAACTTTCGCCATTCGTGTTTAAAAAATATGCCTTGTATATACGAATTTCGAGTACTGATCGTACGAATCTTCGTACGGATTGGAGGTTTTTACAATTGCTGGAAAAAAAAAGTTTTAGAATCTACCGT